ATCTAACTTCGCTGATACCTATCTCCAATACACCAGGGAGGAGGGAGGTGCAGCTACCAGCTTCAAGGAGTCTCAAAAGTCTAAAAAATATGGAGAACTTGCCCATCATTATATGTTTGTTCCCATAGGCTCAGAGACCCTTGGCTCATGGGGAAAGAATCTGAAAAGATGGGGTGGTAGGGTAAGTGGAATATTCAAACGGCTTAAGAAGGAAATCCAAATATTCTTCCATGAAGCCTTTTTATCCACTTCTTCGAGGCTATGGGTCCCACAATTTACACCAGAGGTGGACCCCAATATATATATATATATATATATATATATATATTATATATATATATATATATATATATTATATATATATATATATATATATATATATATTATATATTTAAAAACACTGATCTCTGGCTGAAGGAGACTCGAACCTACGAACCTTGGAACAAGGTACGCAGTGCTTTACCAATCTACCCACACTGGACCAATACCTTGGAGTCCAGCTTGCGCTAGACTTTAATCCAAGGCAGCCAGCTTTCAGGGAGAAGGCTTACAGCTTTTCATCTCATCCCCTGCATGCATCAGCCTTACTAGAGATATTAACAAAGCAAGGAATTCGCAAGAGCAGGCGAAAGATACACAAACACTGATCTCTGGCTGAAGGAGACTCGAACCTACGAACCTTGGAACAAGGAACGCAGTGCTTTACCAATCTACCCACACTGGACCAATACCTTGGAGTCCAGCTTGTGCTAGACTTTAATCCAAGGCAGCCAGCTTTCAGGGAGAAGGCTTACAGCTTTTCATCTCATCCCTGAAAGCTGGCTGCCTTGGATTAAAGTCTAGCACAAGCTGTACTCCAAGGTATTGGAGTAGATTGGTAAAGCACTGCGTACCTTGTTCCAAGGTTCGTAGGTTCGACTCTCCTTCAGCCAGAGATCAGTGTTTGTGTATATTTCGCCTGCTCTTGCGAATTCCTTGCAGGGTAGCCCAAAAAGAAAAACGAAAGTTTCTCTTTTAAATTTAGTAATTTATACTGGAGAAGGGGTTACTAGCCCCTTGCTTCCGGCATTTTAGTCGCCTCTTACAACACGCATGGCTTACGGAGGAAGAATTCTGTTCCACTTCCCCATGGAGATAAGAGGAAATAAACAAGAACAAGAACTAGAAAGAAAATAGAAGAATACCCAGAGGGGTGTGTATATATATGCTTGTACATGTATGTGTAGTGTGACCTAAGTGCAAGTAGACGGAGCAAGACATACCTGAAATCTTGCATGTTTATGAGACAGACGAAAGACACCAGCAATCCTACCATCATGTAAAACAATTACAGGTTTTCGTTGTACAGTCACTTGGCAGGATGGTAGTACCTCCCTGGGCGGTTGCTGTTTACCAACCTACTACCTAGGATATATATATATATATATATATATATGCAAAACAACCACTCTGAAAGAATAGAGAAATTCCAAGCGCTTTCGTGACTACTCACATTATCAAGGAACTATGAAAGTAAAGCATCCAAGGAAGCTATATAAGGGGTCTGGTCGGCACCTCACTTATATATATATATATATGTCGTGCCGAATATGTAAAACTGGTCAATTAGCAAGAACTCATTTAAAATTAAGTCCTTTCTAAGATTTTCTCTTATACGTTTAACGATATATTTTTTTCATTAATGTTGATGTAAAAATTTATAATTTTGCACCAAAAGGAACTTAGAAAACTTACCTAACCTTTTTATAACAAGAATAATTTATTTTAGCCTAACCCAACTAAATATATTTTAGAGTTGTTTAGAATAATTTAATACTAAACAAACACAGTGAAATATATTTTTTTCATTAGGTTCAGAATGATTTTGGTGAAATTTTTGATACACAAATTTTCACTTGTCCTATATGGGAAGTGAACGTTGCTATTTAAGCCAAGATGACAAGTTCTGCCTATTCGGCACGACTTATATATATATATATATATATATTTAATATTATATATATATATATATATATATATATTATATATATATATATTATATATTATATATATATATATATATTATATATATATGTCGTCCCGAATAGGCAGAACTTGCGTTTCTTGGCTTAAATAGCAACGCTCATTTTGCCATATAGGACAAGTGAAAATTTGTGTATGCAATAATTCCCCCCAAAAAATCATTCTGAACCTAACGAAAAAAATATATTTCACTGGTTTTGTTTAGTTTTTAAATTATTGTAAACAAAATATAAAATATAATTAGCTGGGTTAGGCTAAAAAAAATTGGGTTCTTGTTATAATAAGGTTAGGTAAGTTTTCTAAGAGTCTTTTGTAGCAAAATTAAAAATTTTTACATTACATTAATGAAAAAATATATCTTTAAACGTATAAGTGAAAAATTTTGAATGGACTTAATTTAAATGAGTTCTTGCTAATTGACCAGTTTTACATATTCGGCACGACATATATATATATATATATATATATATATATATATATATATATTATAATATATATATATGTCGTGCCGAATAGGCAGAACTTGCGATCTTGGCTTAAATAGCAACGCTCATCTTGCCATATAGGACAAGTGAAAATTTGTGTATGCAATAATTTCGCCAAAATAATTCTGAACCTAACGAAAAAAATATATATCACTGTGTTTGTTTAGTATTAAATTATTGTAAACAAATCTAAAATATATTTAGTTGGGTTAGGCTAAAATAAATTGTTCTTGTTATAATAATGTTAGGTAAGTTTTCTAAGATTCTTTTAGTTCAAAATTAATTTTTTTTTACATTAACATTAATGAAAAAAATATATCTTTAAACGTATAAGAGAAAATTTTAGAAAGGACTTAATTTTAAATGAGTTCTTGCTAATTGACCAGTTTTACATATTCGCACGATATATATATATATATATATTATAATATATATATATATATATATATATATATATATATATATATATATATTATATATATATATGTATATATATATACATATATATATACATATTATATATATATATATATATATATATATATATATATATATATATATATATATATATATATTATATATATATATATATTATATATATATATATATATATATATATATATATATATATATGCTGAAGTATGTGTCTATAAGATTCCTTGTAAAATTTGCGATTAAGTTTATTACGGTAAAACTGGTAAAAATCTCGAACTAAAATTAAAACAACATAAATATAGCATTAGAACTGGACTAGATTCCGATGCTCTATTTATTCATGTGAAAGATTTTATCCATCCAATTGATTTTCAAAAAGTTGAGAAAGTTGAATCAAGCAAGTCCATGGTCGACTGGAATATAATTAAATCTTGTTTCATAAAAAGCAGTTTTGACAATAATATGAATATTTCCTTTGGTTTATATAAGTTAGATCTATTTATAATTAATATAATATGGTAAGAATTTAATAATACATTGGACAAATAATGAATCTTAAAATTCTTAATTCTTGGGTAGAATAGTTTGCTTGTGGATTGCGTGAAGGACCTGCGTGAAGGATGTTATAGTGAGGTGTGGTTTAGACCCTTTATATAGCTTCCTTTGATGCATTACTTTCAGGGAGAATGCTTACAGCTTTTCATCTCATCCCCTGCATGCATCAGCCTTACTAGAGATTTGAACAATGTTTGTGTATATTTCGCATGCTCTCGCGAATTCCTTGCATTGTTCAAATCTCTAGTAAGGCTGATGCATGCAGGGGATGAGATGAAAAGCTGTAAGCCTTCTCCCTGAAAGCTGGCTGCCTTGGATCAAACGTGTAGCGCATGCTACACGCCAAGGTATTGGTCCAGTGTGGGTAGATTGGTAAAGCACTGCGTACCTTGTCCTAAGGTTCGTAGGTTCGAATCTCCTTCAGCCAGAGATCAGTGTTTATATATATATATATAATATATATATATATATATATATATATATATATATATATATTATATATATATATAGGGAAGTACCACCTCTATAGCTGGAATGGGGACCTTCATCCTCAGAGAAGACAAATAAACGTACCTCAGGGAAAACTCAAGGTTCTCCCCGGAGCTGTTTGAATATTTTCTTCTCCTACCACCCCCTATATATTTTATATTCTTTGTGAACATTTATTAATAAAAAATATACATTTACATAAAAAAACATAAACATGAATACAATGGACAAAAATTAACTTAGAAACATCACCTAACTTATCATAAACTATAGCAATTATTTTTAACTAAATTCTGCTGTATATTTATATACAACATAGGTCATTTTTTAATTTATTTAATATTACTTAAAATCAGTGATATATATATATATATATATATATTATATATATATATATATATATATATATGTCGTGCCGAATATGTAAAACTGGTCAATTAGGAAGAACTCATTTAAAATTAAGTCCTTTCTGAAATTTTCTTTTATACGTTTAAAGATATATTTTTTTCATTAATGTTAATATAAAATTTTTTAATTTTGCACCAAAAGAATGTTAGAAAACTTACCTAACCTTTTTATAACAAGAGCAATTTATTTTAGCCTAACCCAACTAAATATATTTTAAATACGTTTCCAATAATTTAGTACTAAACAAACACAATCAAATATATTTTTTTTCGTCAGGTTCAGAATGATTTTGACGAAATTATTGCATACACAAATTTTCACTTGTCCTATATGGCAAGATGAGCGTTGCTATTTAAGCCAAGATGGCAAGTTCTGCCTATTCGGCACGGCCTGCATATATACATTATATATATATATATATATATATATATATATATATATTTATATATATATATATATATATATATATATATATATATATATATATTATATATATATATATATATATATATATATATATATATATATATATATATATATATATTATATATATATATATATATATATATATGGGGTCCACCTCTGGTGTAAATTGTGGGACCCATAGCCTCGGAGAAGTGGATAAAAAGGCTTCAAGGAAGAATATTTGGATTTCTTCATGAAGCAGTTTGAATATTCCACTTCCCCTACCACCCCATCTTTTAATTTTTTTTTACCAATAGGAATATTTTATTGCATAATATGGTACAGAAGATTTAAGAGATACATTGTTAATGTAAAGGTGGCATATACAGTACATGTTACGTGCGTGTCACCGATTATAAGGCGAAAATCTCATCCAGCTCCTCAGAGCTCTTGAGTGTACCCAAAATACAGCAGGCATTACCCCTTTGAACAGCCGCACTGAGCTGCCGGAATAGAAAACTAGCTGCCCTGGGATCCCTAGTTACCCTGATGAGTCTTTTTCCCAGCTCCTTAAGGAATTCAGATGCATTCTTTCCCCATGAGCCAAGGGTCTCTGAGCCTATGCGAACAAACATATAATGATGGGCAAGTTCTCCATATTTTTTAGACTTTTGGGAACCCCATAAGCTGGCAGCTGCCCCTCCTTCCTCCCTGGTGTATTGGAGATAAGTATCAGCCGAGGTAGATGCACCTGCTTCCCGTCTATCCAGGCTTGAAAGGTGATACCATCTGGACGCTTCTGGCTGCCATTAGATCTGCATAGCAGGGGTGGCATCTGGCTGTTGCGACACTCCTCTTGATAATGTTATTAACCTCCTCATGTCTTGCAATCTTTCCCTCGGATTTACGGCACACAAAACAATGGTACCCGAATCGGTCTGCTACTTCACTGCCATAAATACACCTGTGTTCGGCGAGAATAGGGGCGGCAAGTCAAAGGGCAACACCGATGCGGATGGTCTGTGGGTCGAGGCGTGTGCCAAGGGTGGAGTTGGAAACAGCCAACAGAAAGTCCCCTGCATGAGGGGCTCTCACTGCCAGGAGGCGGGCTCTATCCTTCCCTGACACACTCTGAAGCATTGTTGAGGCTATATTTTCCACTATTGTACCATCCCAGTGCGATTGTTTGTAGTTGTTGGGGGGAGCAGGTGTGGTTTCAGAGCCCGTTAGATTATCCCAGATCATGGCTCCGTCAATGAACTTTTGGTCCTGGACTCCAATCTTGTCCCTAATATGTTCAGGGTGAATCGCTGCTACAAGCCCTCTGGATGCAATATATGAGGACAAAAAAGCAGGGAGCGCAATCTGTGATGACTTGCGAACACCAATGCCTCCTAGTCTGACTGGAAGTGTAGCTTGGTTCCACTGCCCGTCTTCTAGAGTAAGGTTAAGTACTTTCGTAAAAATCTACCTCAGGATACTGTCATATTCGTGCAATATAGGGTTATCATATGAAGGTGCACATCTTAGGAAATATGTCAACCTGGGCAGACTCAAGCACTTTGTGAGAAGGTATAAGGCATCGTGGGTGTCCAGAATGCCTATTTGTTGTTCCATTCTCCTTAACTCTTCCAATTTCTTCCTGAGAATTGTGTCAATGGCATTGCTTCCAGAGGTGCTCCTAGCAAGACCCTGTTTTTTGGGGCAATGACTGCTGCTCCTGGTAGTTTTGATCTCACTGCATTTATCACTTGTTGACTGACTGAGATGATTTCACATTTATATGGATTCAGAATGAGACCCATTTTCTGTCCCCGTGTCATTACCTGTGTAAGATCATGTAGGAGGGACTCCTTTGTATCTACTAGTGTGCCATCATCTAGGAACCAGATGTTTAGCTCGCTGATCAGTCTGACTGTGATTTCCCTAACTGGTATACAGAAGAAAAATGGGGCAAGAGGATCTCCTTGTTGGACACCCTCCGTTGATGTGATTTCATGCTCTCCAAAGAGAAGCATTGATTCCTTGCTATAACCAGCTGAAACAAATGGGAAGAGACCAGGGAAATGTTCTTGTACTGCTGCTAATACCACGTCTCTTTTCAGGAGATTGAATGCATTCTTGAAATCTAATTTTACCACTGTATTGTCCTCAGGCAGGTTGTTGATATACGCACTTGTTGCATGAACCGCTGCTTCACTTCCTTGAGAGACCCCAAAGCCAAGCTGGTTTAGTTGAGGCATCATGGCTGCCTGTGCACGAATACTTCGGACAGCAGCTTTGGATACGAGGCGGCGTAACGTGTTGCCTACTGCAATTGGCCGAATTTCTTCCATCCTTCCTTTTAAGTGCACAAAGTGTTGACTAAAAACGAAAGGTCTAATTTCATCAGGAATCAGACCAGCCAAGGAATTGTTGACGAACCTTGCGATCTCTGAAAGCAGTGTCTCTGCAATTTCCCCAATAACTGTATTAACCATTTCCTTTAAATGCTGTGGCCTTATTCCAGTGTAACCCCCAACAGAGCCAGATGGGAACGACATTATTGCTTTGTAAATGTCTGAATCTTCCACAATCAATGGTTCCACAGTGGGGACAGAGGAGTTGGAACTGTTGGTGCCACTGGTTTCCCTGGCAGGGTGCTTTCCTCTAAGTGCTTCTTCAGCCGTGTCAGCATCCCTGGGAGCAACTGTATCTTCACTGGTAATAATTCTGATTACCCCCACTGTGTTGCCCTCTTCAATTTTCTTGCTCACCTGAACTCTGCTTTTTTCACTGTCAGTGGGGTGAGTGGGGGTTCTGCCTCTCCCTTTTTTGTGTTGACGGGGAAGGCGAATGAGGTTATCAGCTCTAGGGAAATTTCTTAAGGATTTAATTATTATTGAGGCTAGCCTCTTTCCTCTTCTTTCCGGCACAGCTAAGCAGACATTGCCAAAAAGTCGCAAGTTGTGCCATGCCTTGGTGGTTGGTGGAGCATTAAGATAGTGGAACCATCGTTTACTTTTTTCAGGATGTCTGTAAGTTTCCCAGCTGCGTGTGGACAGGGTGCTTTGGGAATATGTGTGAGTGTCCTGGTACCTGTTGCTTTAATTGCTTCCAAGATGTTGTCTGATGAGATGAGATCTGTTGGAGTGGGTTCAGGTGCCTGAGGTGGCTCTGGATCATCACTTTCCACAGGAGGACATCCTGAACCAGGGCAACTACTGTGTTTGCAGAGGAAACCATTAGAGTTGAGACAACGAAGCTGTAAGCATGACCGACACTTGCCTCTCCTAGTATTGCCAGCCGTGCCATTTCCCTGGCTGCTTGCTTCCTCCTGGTTGGCATCCATCTGCTACACTAGACAGTAGGAGTGGAGTATGACATGCTGGGTGGGTATGGTGCGTGGAAGGTAGTGAACTTGACCGTGGTAGCCTGGTGGAGTTTGTGGGGCTGGTGAGGGGCTAGGAGGGGAAAACTTCCCCTTTGAATTGGGTGGGGGAGGCGCTGGTTGCTGAGTGGGGTTATCCCGGGGAGTACAATACACATGGACTTCCGCTAATTTATGGAAAAATCAAATTTTCACTTGGCCTGTCGGGTCAGACTCACTCGGCTTAGTCATTAAAACGATCTTTTATTGTCCGAGTTACTGAGAGTGTGAAGTGTCGTGATACATCTTCGTTATTGTTGATGATGGTTTGCACATAACTGATGTGGGTTAGAAGTTTGAGAAATCTTTCAATTGACTTAGCAGAAGAAATTGTTGGTAACTGCCAACAATTTCTTCTTTTGCAAAAATAATTAATGAGATCAATTTTATAAAAGAATAGTGAATATTTACGTCAATGACATATGTAATGTTTCAAGAAATCTACCTTACAGCGTAACATGGACTATTTTTATCTTAATTAAAATATTAAGACATCGTCAAAGTAGATTGCTTTGTAAATAATTTTTAGCAGTTTACCTCATCAGATACATCTAAGAAATATAAACACAGTCTGGAAACTGACATATATAAATATGAGAATTCATCTAGATTTAGATTTAATATTTCTTTATCAAGATAATTTTTAAATAAAATTGAAAATACACATTCTTAATTCTAAATACATATTTTCTTAATTTTTTACACAATATATTTTTGTGAACAACATTGTTGCTAATGCTTTGAATCGATAATTTTCAGATTTTCCATTTCTTTATTTCTTCTAAGAGGATTAAGCATCACGTCAAAGCTTCTATTTAGGATAAACTAGCGTAATATGTATTCATTTATCATAGTAATCAAACACAGTTTGAAGGAATCAAGAACAATGTTTGTTGCTGCAGGTAACGGAGCTGGAAATATATGGTATAAAATTCCGACACAATGGAAATATAAACACAAAAACAGTATAAAGTGAACCTTTATCTGTTTTTGTCTTGTTAAAGCCCACTGTGGGGGCAAAACGTTGTCAATAAAGAATCACATTATACTGCTTTTGTGTTTATATTTCCAGGTAACAGAACAAATCGAGCTGCTTTGCTATTGGATCAACCTCTGGGTGAATCTGTTGTGTTCCGACACTGGTTCCTTACTGAACACGATACGTAAACACCACTCCATCCTTGTCAAGAAAGTAATTTGGCACCACCTTCCTCGCTTCCTGTTGAGAGAAAAAAAGATTAATTTTTAACAGTATCTGAGAGGCAAAAATTTATAATGAAACATATGGAATTTTTCGTTTGCTAATGATTTATCTAAAAACCACCATTCTTTTCAACAGTAATTATTCAAGTGAGGTAACTAGTGAAAGCACCAAAAGTATATAATGATGAAATTATGTTCTGTTCTAAAGGATGAATATACAAAACTAAGAATATTTGAACTTAATCCTTAATGAATCCCACTGAAGTACAATATTAGAGTTAAATAGTAACTATATTTTCAACTAAATAATAATGAATAAATTAACAGAAGAAACTCTCACTCAAGGATATTTACACTAAGAGGATTATTTGTCATTGCAATCTGATCAGCAACAGATTGCAATGGCTTTTGATGCCATCGAGAGGCTATGAATCAATTTAACAAACAAATAACAATGTATAAAAGTTTTGAGTACTGCCCCGTTTGTGATTCTCTGACGTTCAGGAGTTTTCAGAGACTATTCTGGGAGTTAAGGAGTCTTGAATGATGCTTCATTGTGTTAAAAAGTTGAGTGACTCCTCGGTATATTTAGAAGACCTTAGTGTCTCTCCAATGTGATTATGTCTTGAGAGATTCCTGTATGTTTTGAGAGACTCCTGTATGTTTTGAGAGACTCTTGTATGTTTTGAGAGACTCTCGTATGTTCTGAGAGACTCCTGTATGTTTTGAGAGACTCCTGTATGTTTTGAGAGAATCCTGTATGTTTTGAGAGACTCCTGCATGTTTTGAAAGACTCCTGCATGTTTTGAGAGACTCCTGCATGTTTTGAGAGACTCCTGCTTGTTTTGAGAGACTCCTGCATGTTTTGAGAGACTCCTGTATGTTTTGAAAGACTCCTGCATGTTTTGAGAGACTCCTGTATGTTTTGAGAGACTCCTGTATGTTTTGAGAGACTCCTGCATGTTTTGAAAGACTCCTGCATGTTTTGAGAGACTCCTGTATGTTTTGAGAGACTCCTGTATGTTTTGAGAGATTCTTGTATGTTTTGAGAGTCTCTTGTATGTTCTGAGAGACTCCTGTATGTTTTGAGAGACTCCTGTATGTTTTGAGAGACTCTTGTATGTTTTAAGAGACTCTTGTATGTTCTGAGAGACTCCTGTATGTTTCGAGAGACTCCTGTATGTTTTGAGAGAATCCTGTATGTTTTGAGAGACTCCTGCATGTTTTGAGAGACTCCTGTATGTTTTGAGAGACTCCTGTATGTTTTCAGAGACACCTATATGTTTTGAGAGACTCCTGCATGTTTTGAGAGACTCCTGTATGTTTTGAGAGACTCCTGTATGTTTTCAGAGACACCTATATGTTTTGAAAGACTCCTGCATGTTTTGAGAGACTTCGTATGTTTTGAGAGACTCATGAATGTTTTTAGAGACTCCTGTATGATTTGAGAGACTCCTGTACGATTTTAGAGACTCCTATATGATTTGGGAGACTCGTGTATGTTTTGAGAGACTCCTGTATGTTTTAAGAGACTCCTGTATGTTTATAGAGACTCCTGTAGGTTTTGAGATACTCCTGTATGTTTTGAGAGACTCCTGTATGTTTAGAGAGACTCCTGTATGTTTTGAAAGACTCCTGTATGTTTGGGAGATTCCTGTATGTTTTGAGAGACTCCTGTATGTTTTGAGAGACTCCTCTATGTTTTGGACTTTAAATAACTCTCCGCTGAGTTTAGGAGTATTTACGTGTCTTGACAGACGATGCAGCGTGTTTTGGAGTCTTGAATGATTTGTATGTTGAGGAGATGAGTGACACTTCAGTGTATTTATGAGTCATGAATGACGTGTTTATTTTGGATGGTTGAGTGACCTACCAGTGTGTTGAGGAGTTGCGAGAAAGATTGCGATGTATTTAAGAATCTTAATTGGCTCTTCATTGTGTTTAGAAGTCTTAAATGATTCTCCGGTCTATTTAGTAGACTTTCCAGCGGAAATCAATCTGAACATCAAAACTACATATCATTGATTTTAAGTAATATTAAATTTAAGTAATGTTAAATATAAATAATATAAATTTAACATTAATAAAGAAAACATTAAATTTAAAGTAATACTAAATTTAACATTACTAAAGAAAATTACGTTTTTATAAGTTAGGTTAGGTAAGTTCCTAAGTTTGTTTTGGTTCAAAATTAAAATCTTTATATAATTGTCAATGAAATTATTTGTCATTCTGTAAATGAACTCTTCGGAAAAGTTTAATTTTTAAAGGGGTTTTGCCTATTAGGCAAGTTCGGCTTATTTGGCACGATATATATTTATGTACGTATATGTCGTGCTGTTTAAGCCGTTAAAAATTGAACTTTTCTTCAAAAAATTATTATTGGACGATAAATATTTTTTTCATTGACAATGATATAAAGATTTTAATTTAATTTTGGACCAAAGCTAACTTAAAAATCTTGCCTGACCTTTCTTAAAGTAGCACTTTGTTTTTTTTTTTGTTTGCTAAATTCTGCTGTACATATCAACCATTTGTCTCCATTCACTCCTATCAAACACGCTCACGCATGCCTGCTGGAAGTCCAAGCCCCTCGCACACAAAACCTCCTTTACCCCCTCCCTCCAACCTTTCCTAGGCCGACCCCTACCCCGCCTTCCTTCCACTACAGACTGATACACTCTTGAAGTTATTCTGTTTCGCTCCATTCTCTCCACATGTCCGAACCACCTCAACAACCCTTCCTCAGCCCTCCAAAACTGTTGTCCAGAGGACTGAGGAAGGGTTGTTGAGGTGGTTCGGACATGTGGAGAGAATGGAGCAAAACAGAATAACTTCAAGAGTGTATCAGTCTGTAGTGGAAGGAAGGCGGGGTAGGGGTCTGGGCCCAGGAAAGGTTGGAGGGAGGGGGGTAAAGGAGGTTTTGTGTGTGCGAGGGGCTTGGACTTCAGCAGCATGCGTGAGCGTGTTTTGATAGGAGTGAATGTAGAAAAATGGTTTTTAATACTTGACGTGCTGTTGGAGTGTGAGCAAAGTAACATTTATGAAGGGGTTCAGGGAAACCGGCAGGCCGGACTTGAGTCCTGGAGATGGGAAGTACAGTGCCTGCACTCTGAAGGAGGGGTGTTAATGTTGCAGTTTAAAAACTGAAGTGTAAAGCACCCTTCTGGCAAGACAGTGATGGAGTGAATGATGGTGAAAGTTTTTCTTTTTCGGGCCACCCTGCCTTGGTGGGAATCGGCCAGTGTGATAAAAAAAAAATCATACATACATTTAAATTTATTTCATATTTCTTAAAAATCAATGATATATAGTTTTTTCCTTAAGTTCAGATTAATTTCAGCAGATTTATTGTAAAAAAAATATTCTGCTTATTTGGCAGAGGATTCCTAGCCGAATAGATCAAACTCACCTGTCCGGCTTAGGTATGGGTCGTCCCCCGAAAATGTTGGAGGGGGTAAAGGAGGCTTCGTGGTCGAGGGGCTTGGACTTCCATCAAGCATGTGTGTGCATGTTAGATAGGAGGGAATGGAGGCGAATGGTTTTTGAGACCTGACGAGCTGTTGGAGTGTAAGCAGGGCAATATTTTGTGAAGGGATTCACGGAAACCGATTAGCCGTACTTGAGTCCGGGAAATGGGAAGTACAATGCCTGCACTTTAAGGGAGGGGTTTGGGATATTGACAGTTTGGAAGGACATCTAAACTGTGGTATCTGAGCGCCTCTGCAAAGACAATCATTATGAATGAGTGATGGTGAAAGTGATGAATGATGAAAGTTTTTTCTTCCTTTTTGCCGATGTGCTTTTTATATATATATATATATATATATATATATATATATATATATATTATATATATATTATATATATATTATATATGCAAGGAATTCGCGAGAGCAGGCGAAATATACACAAACACTGATCTCTGGCTGAAGGAGACTCGAACCTACGAACCTTAGGACAAGGTACGCAGTACTTTACCAATCTACCCACACTGGACAATACCTTGGCGTGTAGCTTGCGCTACACATTTGATCCAAGGCAGCCAGCTTTCAGGGAGAAGGCTTACAGCTTTTCATCTCATGCCCTGCATGCATCAGCCTTACTAGAGATTTTAACAATGCAAGGAATTCGCGAAAGCTGGCGAAATATACACTAACACTGATCTCTGGCTGAAGGAGAGACTCGAACCTAACAATTAGGCAGGTACGCAGTTGCTTTGCCAATTTGCTGCCTTGGATTGCATGCCATTGGATCAGCGGGGGTAGTTTTCAAGCATACACGCCAAGGTATTGGTTCGAGTCTTCAGTAGAGATGTGTAAATAACTTACATACTATGTATATAGGTATATATTCAGATCTCTATTATTAGATATAGTTTAAATTATATATATATATATATATATATATATATATATATATATATATAATATATATATATATATATATATATATATATATATATATATATATTCGGCAATAGCAGTTATCAAGAAGTCCTTTCTAAAATTGTCTGCTAAACGTTTAAAGATATATTTTTTTCATTTATGTTAATGTGAAAATAAATGATTTTGTACCAAACGAACCTTAGAAAACTTACCTAACCTTATTATAACAAGCACAATTTAATTTTGTCTAATCAAACTAAATATGTTTTAGATAAGCTTATAATAATTTAAGAATAAACACAATAGGACATAATTTTTTTCGTTAGTTTCTGAATGATTTTTGCGAAATTTTTGTATACACAAACTTTCTCTTACCTTATTCGGCAAGAAGAGCGTTGCTATTTATGCCAAAATAGCAAGTTTTACCTATTCGCCACTACATATCGTATCGTATCGTATCGACGTGTGTATGCTCGTGGTTATGGGCATAATGTATGTGCATTGTGTGTGTATTGCAGGGGACGACTCATAGCTCCTGGTCCCGCTTCTTTACTAGTCGCTACTAGGTCCACTCTCTCCTTGCTCTAGGAGCCTTATCTTACCTCTTCTTCAAGCTGTGTATGGATCCTGCCTCCACTCCTTCACTCTCCGGACTATTCCACTTCCTGACAACTCTGTGACTGAAGAAATACTTCCTAATATTCCTGTGACTCATCTGAGTCTTCAACTTCCAATATTGAGTCTCTTGATGTTGTGTCCAATCTCTGGAACGTCGTGTCTTCGTCCATCTTGTCAATTCCTCTAAGTATTTTATATGTCTTTATCATGTCCCCCTCTCTCCTGTCCATCAGGTCGATTTCCTTTAACAAATTAGAGAAAGTGCAAAGGTTTGCAATGAGACTAGTCCCGGAGAGATTAAAGTGCTTAACCAGGTGTGGGTTCCAAACTGGTCATGCATACTCCAGTATGCACCTGACATACACTGTGTACAGATTACTGAACGATTCCTTACTGAGGTGTCGGAATGCTATTCTTGGGTTTGGGTTTGCTACTCGCCTATATGCTGTAGGAGTAATTTGGTTGATGTGCGCCTCAGGAGATGTGTTCGGTATTATACTCACCCTAAGATCCTTTTTCTTGAGTGAGGTTTGCAGTCTCTGCCCCCCTAGACTGTACTCTGTATGCGGTCTTCTTTGCCCTTTCCCGATCTTCATGATTTTGCCCTTGCTGGATTAAACTCTAGGAGCCAGTTGCTGTAGCAGGCTTGCAGCCTGTCTAGATCCCTTTATAGTCCTGTTTGATTCTCATCCGATTTAGTTCTCCTCATCAGCATCACGTCGTCTGGAAACAGGGACACTTCTGAGTCTATCCCTTCCTTCATACCATTCACATATACCAGAAACAGCACCGGTCCTAGGACCGATCCTTGTGGATCCCCACTCGTCACAGGTGCCCAGTTTGATACCTCGTCACAGGTGCCCAGTTTGATACCTCGTCACGTCATGAATTGCTGTTCCCTTCAAGTCAGTTATTCTCTGATCCATTGGAGGGCTTCCCCTGTTGTATCTGCCTGGTCCTCCAGCTTTTGCACTAATCTCTTCTGTGGAACTGAGTCAAAAGCCTTCTTTCAGTCCATGAAAACACAATCTACCCATCCCTCTCTCTCTCTCTTGCCCTACCACTGTCACCTTGTTATAGAACTCCAGTAGGTTTTTGACACAGGATTTCTCTTCCTTGCACCCGAAGAGGTGCTCCATCACTCTTCTGATAATCTTAGCCATAACTTGCATACTGTCCATGTCAGAGACTCTGGTCTGTAGTTTAGTTCTTCTTCTGTGTGTGTGCGTGTGTGTGTGTGTGTGTGTGTGTGTGTGTGTGTGTGTGTGTGTGTGTGTGTGTGTGTGTGTGTGTGTGTGTGTGTGTGTGTGTGTGTGTGTGTGTGTGTGTGTGGTGTGTGTGGTGTTGTGTGTGTGTGTGTGTGTGTGTGTGTGTGTGTGTGTGTGTGTGTGTGTGTGTGTGTGTGTGTTGTGTGTGTGTGTGTGTGTGTGTGTGTGTGTGGGGTGTGTGTGTGTGTGTGTGTGTGTGTGTGTGTGTGTGTGTGTGTGTGCATGTGTGTGTGTGTTTGTGTGTGCATGTGTATGTATATGATTGTGAGTATTTGTGTCTGCTTATCTGTTTGTGTCAAACTGTATTCATTTTTGTATGTCACTGAAAAAAAATTAATTCTTGTAACTTTAGTTTCTTCCTGTTAACGTGATTATCTCAAAATTATCAAATTTGCATAAAATATGTTTAATTTTTTCTGCTTTTACCTAAGTAATCTTGAAACATTGTTGTTAGCAAGATGACAATAAAGATTAACTTACCTTGCGCCACTTTCCCTCTTGCTCTAAATGGTCCATATAAGGCTCCAGTTTGTCTTTAAACACCTCTGCCGTCGAGACGAACTCCAGCTCATCACAATTATCACCAGACCTCCTGTGGCAGAAGCAGAATGAGTGTGATAGAAATTACTGTGTGATTATCCAGATAACCCTTAGCAGTAGTGTAATTTTCTTCATTACTACTTGCCTTCCCAGTCTACCTGCAGCACGAGTAGGTTAATTGTCAGTGTAAGATTGTGGAAATCTTAACATTTGTAGTGGAGTTAACGAAAGAAAAGAATGAAAATCTAGTTATAGATTTTGTTTAGCATGGCCAATAGATTAGTGATGAATAGCGAGGATATGAGAAGTGAGAAAGACAAGTAGGTTTAAGGGCTCTCAGTCTATTTTGCATAAAAGATTTCTTAAATAGCAGATTAATTCAGTCCCTCACTGTGTGTTCTTCAATAAAAATTTTCTCCATTCTGTAATATGGAGACCAAAAACGAACAATATGGCTATCAGAGTATTTGGATTTATAATAAAAAGAATAAGAAATACGGGTTCAAAAGCTATTTTACAGCTCTATACATCACTAGATAATCGCTAGTTCTATATGTCACCTTGAAAATCACCTCAGGTGTGGTCTCCATACTACAGAATGGATATAAATGCAATGACAAACATACAGAGAAGGATGACAAAATTAATCCACTATATGAGGAAGCCCTTGTACGATGAAAGACTGAGAGCCTTGAATCTTCACTCTCTTGAGAGACTGATGAAGCCACTCGTTGCCAAACCTTTCCTTTAATAAATGTCCTGAACTGTACACAAATGTTTCAATCCACAGTTTGCGGTATTATCAAACAAATTACATCCACAACCACTTAAATTGCTGCATAAAAGCGAGTATGAAAACTGAAGAAACAAATTTACAGTCTGTCTAGATAGAAAAATAAACACATAAGAAATATAATGTGATTCTTTACTGACAACGTTTCTCCCACACAGTGAGCTTTATCAAGCCACAAACAGATCTATCTGGATGAAAGGTACGTGAGTATTTATAGGATGGAGTCAGGTGGAGAATGCTGGGTAGGTTGGATCTGAACTTGCATGTGACAATCTTCCGTGTAGGGTGACAGAGGCTAGGACCTTGGGTAGCTTTACTTTTCCATTGTGTCGGTATTTTATACCATTTATTTCCATTGTCTAGGTAGAATTTTCGGTCGAGCATGAAAAAATAATTCGATGTAAGTGCATAAGATTGGAGGAACACTGTTCCAGGGCTACTGGCCCATATTAGGCAAATCCTTTTCAAATCCAAACAATCCTACCAACACATTTATCCAACGTATTCCAAATTCTACTCAAGAAGTTAACTTTGATATCTTATAATAGACACGTCCTAATCAAATCAAACCTTTCTTATTCATATGTTTATCTAATCTATTTTTAAAGCTTCCTAAGGTTTTTAGGTTCTTTGACTCTACTTGCTGATTGTTTCACTCATCGACAACTTTGAAAACCAATGCTTTCCTGCGTTCTTTCCAAGTCTAAACTTATCTAATTTAAATAAATTATTTCGATTTTTTTTATTCGATATCCTCAGAATTTTATTTATCTTGTACAAGAATGGTATACAATACCGACAAAATGAAATTAAGACACATTTGCAACATATGGCTATCTTTACTGTAGACGTTTCGCCATCCAGTGGCTTTATCAATAATGATTCTAGGACATAATTTGAAGACAGTGATGTACTATATATATATATATATAGTTCTACTATCTTTACAATATGTCCTTGAATTTGTATTGATAAAGCCACGGATGGCGAAACGTCTACAGTAAAGATACCCATATATTGCACATGTGTCTTAATTTATTTATTTTGTCTTTGTTTATGCCTGCCTTCCACTTAGATACTTCAATAATGTCTTCCCTCATTCTATGCCTCTGAGAAGAGTGAAGGTTCATGACCCTCAGTCAATCCTCGTACCACAGATTCCTTATACAGTGGATTAATTTGATCATCCTTCTTTGTGGATAAGTAAGGCACATGTCGGTATTCAGTATCGACAAGATGAAAATTAGACACATGTGCAACATCTGGGTATCTTCACGACTACAGTGCTCTTCACACCAACTCCAAGGCTGAGATACTGATTACCTCATCTTTTGAATATAGTTCTACTGTCTTTTAATTATATCCTTGAATATGTAGTAATAAAGCCACTGGATGGCGATACGTCTACATTAAAGATATCCAGATGTTGCACATGTGTCTAATTCCGAAACGTTTCGTCTACATATTAGGCTTCTTCAGTCGATTACAAAAGAGTTAGCAGGAGACAATGTAATCTGTCCATTGCTCTTGAAGACGTAGTTTTGAGGTGGCCAGTCCCTCAGTCTGGAGTAGAGTTTCTCTCCATAGTCTGGAACAATGTGAAGCTGAAGCAACTTAAATACTGTCAAGAGTGAGGCGTATCCCACGTTTTCAAGGGTAATGGACTGATCTTTAATACACTGACATCCTTTCTGTAGTATGAAGACCAAAACTGAGCAGCATTATCTAGTGATGTTCATGTATCAGGCTATCAAGGTTGATGGTCTGATTACATCATTTTTATTTCATAACTACTGCTGCCTCTTATTTGACTGATGAAACCTACTGTGTAGGCGAAACGTTTTATCAATAAAGATACCCAACTGTTGCACATGTGTCTTAATCTTCAACTTGTCGGCATTTTATACCTTTTTCAATAACCGTAAAATAACTTTTGGACCCCTGTTACTTATACTTCTTGATATAACTACAAGTAATTTGTTGGCCTTATTGCACACGCTTAGGCACTGTTCTCTTGGCTTCATATTTCTGCTTACCATGACTCTCAAGTCTTTTTCACATTCTGTACGAGTCAAGCTCTACATTTTCTAGTATATATCTATGAGGGTTATTTTCGTTCCCAAGGACAAGGACTTCACGCTTCTCCACATTGAACTACATCTGTTAATTAGTAAATTAATCAGGCAGGAACGGCCCCTCGTAAATCCATGCTGAATATCATAGATTATATAATGCTTATGAAGACTTCTTGTAGGCACGTGAGCAAGCACTAGCACATATTAGAAAACGTTTCGGTTCTTATACTCTGATCACTTTTAACAACGAGATGTTAAAATGATAGTATAAATAGGCAGAGAGTGAGGAGAGAGTGACATAGATGGTGCTTTGCCTGGTCGAGTATCATGTATGCTAATGTTTTTGATACTCAACCAGGCAAAGCACTACTTACCTAACACAGGAGTCACATGATCCCATTATTTACCTCTCCTTATCCTAATATGGAATTCTTCAGGTCACCATATGTCACTCATACCCCACTCTCAGTCTATATATATATATATATGACTCACGAAATCGTAATGAGACTCCTATCGCGGGTTCTATCCCCGCCCGTGGTATGGTTTATATATATATATTATATATATATATATTATATATATATATATATATATATATATATATATATATATATATATTATATATATATATATATATATATATATATATATATATATATATATATATATATATATATTATATATACTATATATATATATTATATAATATATAATATACTGTTTTTTAGCCTCTGTATGTTAGAGCGAAACGTTTTATAATAGATATGTCCTAATTTGTCGGTATCTATTACCAAGGTTCTAGCAATTTGCCTTCTATTGAGATCAGGCTTATTAAGCGGTAATTTCACAGTCAAGGAGCAGAATTTACCTCTTGGCTTATTGAAATAGTTTGCCAACTGGTTAATATCAAGCTTCTGTTCACCACGGCTTACTACCCAAGTTGTAGTGGGAGTGTGGATCACTGGTAATATCAAGCTTCTGTTCACCACAGCTTACTACCCAAGTTGTAGTGGGAGTGTGGATCGCCAACACTCATTTTCAGGTGATTCCATTGGATATTCACTTCTCGAGTTACTTTATGGAAGACAGTCTCGAGGTCCTTTGCATTTCCTAAATTAACTATAGTCAAATGATAATATTCAACAAGACGTTCAGACAACTTATCAGTTTCTTTAAGATCGGGATAAACTGGGAGAAACAGCTGATTTAGTGGTAAACAATTTAAATATTTCTATGGGTGAAAAAGAGCTGCAAGTGCAAATTTAATATTGAAGAAGTTTAGATTTTTTTTTACGAGCAAACCAAAAAAATGACGGACTTCATATTGAAGTTGTTGCAGTTTGCAAATAAGTTGATTATGCTATGGATATGAAAGGAGAGAACAGACTTAATCATGTAAACATCCTAAGGTTATGGTGGCCCGGTGGCCTGGTGGCTAAAGCTCCCGCTTCACACACGGAGGGCCCGGGTTCGATTCCCGGCGGGTGGAAACATTTCGACACGTTTCCTTACACCTGTTGTCCTGTTCACTTAGCAGCAAATAGGTACCTGGGTGTTAGTCGACTGGTGTGGGTCGCATCCTGGGGGACAAGATTAAGGACCCCAATGGAAATAAGTTAGACAGTCCTCGATGACGCACTCACTTTCTTGGGTTATCCTGGGTGGCTAACCCTCCGGGGTTAAAAATCCGAACGATATCTTATCTTATCTTAAGGTTTTATCACCGTAGAGAGGTTAATCTATTGTTTAATGAGGATATTTCTCTTTATAATTTGGATTATAACCAAGGTAATGATGACTGTAATGTTTGTATCATAAAGAATGTAGTGAAATCTTCATCTTCAGGCTCCAACGTTAATATCAAATAAATGTGCTTCAGTTAATTCTTTCTCAGATGTCTTCCTGGAATTAGTAATACTGTTGTTTCATAAAACTGAACTATTAAAGCAAGAGCCTATTAAAAGAGCCTATTATGCAGTCCCCATTCATCTGCGAGTGGATTTTTACAAACATATTGAGTTGATAGATCTAAAGGATCAAGAAGTGTCATGGTGAAGAAATCTAGTTTCTTGAGTTCAATGAATTTTCATGGGAAATTTATCCCTAATTTAGCAGACCTCACTAGTGTTCTCACTGATTATTTAAAGAATATTAATGAACCCCTTATTTGCTCGAAGGATGCCCAAGCGATCTTTTTTGAAACTGAAAAAATACTTCTAATCCTGTAGTTCTTAAGCTGCCTGAAATTAATAAATTAGGTAAATCATAACCATAAAAAACTTTAAAATATCATATGCTATGATATTAAGGTAGGCTTTGATTAAACAAGCATTTAGGTTTCAGGTTATGAATATGTTGAGATCTAACAGTCGTTCATTTTATTGGTTGAGCAGGTGCTGCAATTAGTTAGTTTCTTTTTTCTCTCATACATTTTACTTAAATGAGATGAACAGTACACTCCGGTAGATGAGTATGTGAGGAAAAAGCATACTGTTATTTTTCATTTTTTTTCCAAAATTCACAAGATTTCCAGAAACTGTGACCCCGAGTGGCAGCCCTGCTGTGATCATTAGTAACGCCACTTTGGCAAGCCTACAGTGATCATCAGTAATGCCACTTTGGCAAGCCTACAGTGATCATAAGTAATGCTACTTTGGCAAGCCTACAGTGATCATAAGTAACGCCACTTTTTCAGCCCTACAGTGATCAAAGGTAATGCCACTTTGGCAAGCCTACAGTGATCATAAGTAACGCCACTTTGGCAAGCCTACAGTGATCATAAGTAACGCCACTTTGGCAAGCCTACAGTGATCATAAGTAACGCCACTTTGGCAAACCTAGAGTGATCATAAGTAACGCAACTTGTTGCGCATATTTCTAGTTGCTGGTTTCTCCTGGATTTTCTGGAATGGGTTCGAGTGTTGCTTCCTGGCAGCATTATCTTCACCGGGCGTCTGGCTGGTGTGAGGTCATTTCAAACTCGACTTCCTCCTCACCAGGTAACCTAACAACGAACATGTTCTTCACTGTTTGGGATGTTTTATCTTATGCTCTGTCTAGGGTTTATAATACCAATAATCCACAAAGTTGGGTTGTTTTATTTTGGACTATTATGATCAATAGTCAAGATATTCTTTAGGCTTATGTGATTTCTCCCATTTTTCGCCTTCACAGACTTGCGTATTTCTTTTTATCTTCTGGGTAATTTGTGTTTTTTTATGAGCTCTAGTTGCAGTTTGGTGAGCTGCAGAAGACGCTGTGATTGAGAAGCATTCTAGAGACTAGCCGAATCATTTACGGAATCCAAGTATCAAATGTAGAAGTCAGGCAGAATCCCCATTCATTCCTGAAGAATTTATCCAGCGACTGAGCTGCTACGCAATTTTTAAGCAACCAACCATTCTAGGTTCATAAATATTGAGAAGAATACATAAATAACCCGCACATAGAAGAGAGGAGCTTACGACGTTGTTTCTGTCCGACTTGGTCCAAGACTGACCGAAACGTCGTCGTAAGCTCCTCTCTTCTATGTACGGGTTATTTGCGTATTGTTCCAGTCATGGTATTGTGCCTTTTTTATTATTTATTGAGAACACTTTTCCAGGTAGTCTCTTCTTGGAAAGACTTTCCTACTCCACCTACGTTTGTTTCTTTTGATCTTCATTTTATTTAAGAACTGAATATCTTTGATTTTCCATTCTCATTATTTTACCTCATTTCAATATTTCTTGTATATTGATTTTTTCCATATTATTAATATCATTAAGTTTCGTTGGCTGTTTGTACATAATATATATGGTTTGAGTAACAACAGTGATTTTATGAATATGAAAAAGTATACTTTTATTAACAATTATATAAACAAATGATGTTTCAAAATCTGTTATTTCTTCACCCTAGGAGATCAAACTCTGTAATGTCTATTTTTTTTCGAAAAGATAATGCTGGAGAAACTCACCTGGCTTAGCAAAGCGGATCATGTCATCGATGCCACTCACAGGAACGTGTCCATCACCCATTCCGCCAGAAATCACCACAACGTCGTATGCATCTGACCCCAAAACAATAAGTTACATTGATAACTGAGCACAAATTTTATTTAAGATTGTCATGCTCTTATTAGAGATAGTTTTTATTTGTATTTCTGTAATTACAGAAGCAGAGGAGGAAAAGAAAATTTGATAATTAGGGAATAAGAAGAGGGAGGTAAATGTAACCACAATATCTCCCATACACAGCGTAAGTCTGACGTTCGGGACACTACTAAAACTGAGGGAGGAGAGAGAGTAGTGCCTTAATATGCTATGTGCTATGGCTACCATACAATAGATCGCTTTTAGTAGGGATGGAGACTCATCGTGACCGGGAAGATCACAAATTCCTGAGGAGCCACCACTCACTATGAAGTGTTCCTTGCCAGGTAAATCTGGTACATGGTTAAAACAATTACTCGGTTGGTCTGGCGTCTTGCCCATGCTGAAATTCCTGGTTCTTCCCACTTCCATCTTTACTCCATTTCTCCATCTTTATTTCTTTTCCTTTAATCTGTTTCTCTACTCATCTTCTCACAACGACTGAATTCCCCAACCTTCTTCAAACCTAAACCCTTCTATTCTTCCCTCACACACTACTACCCATCCTTCGCCCTGACTACTCCCACAGACCACCCACCACCAACTCCCCGACCAACCAACCACTTCCCCAATATCAGCCTCTCTTCCCCAAAACGGCCATAAAACAACCACCATTACCACACCAAACCCACCATTCACTCTTACTTGCCAACCAAAACCATCTCCATACCATACCACATCCATTATAACTATAACATCCAAACCACCATCACCACTATCTTTCCACTTGTCCATCTATCTCCACCACTACAAATCCACCATAACAAATTCACCATTACAAATCCAGTGCGGATGATAAGAAAGAGATGATTGCTGATGTTATGAATGAAAAGAAGTTGGATGTCCAGACCCTAAGCAAAACAAAGCAGAAGGGGGTAGAGGAGTTTCAGTGGGGAGAAATAAATGGGATTAAATCAGGAGCATCTGAGAGAGTTAGAGCTAAGGAACGGGTAGGAATAATGTTGAAGGATCAGTTATGAAAGGAGAAGACGGAATATAAATATGCAAATTCAAAGATTATGTGGATTAAAATAAGGGTCGGATGCGAAAAGTGGGTCATAATAAGCGTGTATGCACCTGGAGAAGAGAGGAGTGTAGAGGAGAGAGAGATATTTGGGGAGATGTTAAGTGAATGTATAGGAACCTTTAAAGAGTAAATGTAGTAGGGGACCTAAATGCTAAAGTAGGAGAAACATTTAGAAAGGGTGAGGTAGGTAAGTTTGGGGTGCCAGGTGTAAATGATAATGGGAGCCTTTGATTGAACTTTGTATAGAAAGGGGTTTAGTTATAGGTAATACATATTTTAAGAAAAAGAGGATAAATAAGTATACAAGATATGATGTAGGGCGAAATGACAGTAGTTTGTTGGATTATGTATTGGTAGATAAAAGACTGTTGAGTAGACTTCAGGATGTACATGTTTATAGAGGGGCCACAGACATGTCAGATCACTTTTTAGTTCTAGCTACAGTGAAAGTAAAGGGTAGATGGGATACAAGGAAAATAGAAGCAGGAAGTAAGAGAGACGTGAAGGTGTATAAACTAAAAGAGGAGGCAGTTAGGGTAAGATATAAGCAACTATTGGAGGGTAGATGGACTAGTGAGAGTACAGGCAATGGGGTCGAAGATGTATGGAGTAGGTTTAAGAATGTAGTGTTAGTGTTCAGCAGAAGTTTGTTGTTACAGGAAAGTGGGTGCAGGAGGGAAGAAGAGCGATTGGTGGAATGATGATATAAAGAGAGTAGTAAGGGCGAAAAAATTAGCATATGAGAGGTTTTTACGAAGTAGAACTGATGAAAGGAGAGAAGAGTATGTGAAGAGAAAAAGGGAGGTTAAGAGAGTGGTGAAGCAATGTAAAAAGAAAGCAAATGGGTGAGATGTTATCAACAAATTTTTTTGAAAATAAGAAAGTTTTGGAGTGAGATTAATAATTTGAGGAACCCTAGGAAACAAATGGATTTGACAATTAAAAATAGGAGAGGAGAGTTATTAAATGGAGAGCCAGAGGTATCAGGAAGATGGAGGGAATATTTTATGGAATTGTTAAATGTTGATGAAGATAGGGAAGCTGTGATTTCGTGTATAGGACAAGGAGGAATAACATCTTGTAGGACTGAGGAAGAGCCAGTTGTGAGTGTGGGGGAAGTTCGTGAGGCAGTGAGTAGAATGAAAGGAAAAAGGCAGATGGGATTGATGGGATAAAGATAGAAATGATAAAAGCAGGTGGGGGATATAGTTTTGGAGTGGTTGGTGCTATTATTTAATAAATATATGGAAAAGGGAAAGGTACGTAGGGATTGGCAGAGAGAGTGCATAGTTCCTTTGTATAAAGGCAAAGGGGACGAGAGAGCAAATATGGAAAGTCGTGTTATGGTAGAGCTATTACTGAAAGAATTAGAGTAAGACAGAGAGTAAGACAGGAGATGAGCAGGGAGGCTTTTGGAAAGGTAGAGGGTGCAAAGACCGAGTGTTTACAGTGAAACATATAGGTGAACAGTTTTTAGATAAGACTAAAGAGGTTTTCGTGGCATTTATGGATATGGAAAAGGCATATGACAGGGTGGATAGGGAAGCAATGTGGCAAATGTTGCAGGTGTATGGTGTAGGAGGTAGGTTACTGAAAGAGTGAAGAGTTTTTACGAGGATAATGAGGCTCAGGTTAGAGTATGTAGGAGAGGGGGAGATTATTTCCCAGTAAAAGTAGGCCTTAGACAAGGATGTGTGATGTCACCATGGTTGTTCAACATATTTATAGATGAGGTTGTAAGAGAAGTGAATGCGAGGACCTTGGCAAGAGGTGTGGAGTTAAAAGATAAAGAATCAAAAACAGAGTGGGAGTTGTCACAGTTGCTCTTGCTGATGACACTTTGCTTTTGGGAGATTCTGAAGAGAAGTTGCAGGGGTTGGTGGATAAATTTGGTAGGGTATTTTAAAAGAAGAAAATTAAAAGTGAAAATAGGAAAGAGTAAGGTGATGAGAACAAAAAGATTAGGTGACGAAAGATTGGATATCAGATTGGAGGGAGAGAGTATGGATGAGGTGAATTTATTCAGATATTTAGGAGTGGATGTGAGTAGTGAAGAAAATGCCATAGCTGTGTATGCCAGAGCAGTGTATCAAAGGATGCCGCCTTTTCACACCTAGGTGTGAAATTTCGCACCTATCTGATAATGAGCCTTCCGGTTCCCATGCGCGCCCGCCCGCGCCCTCCGCCCGCCCCCCCACCTGCGCCCCCGCGAGCCCCCCGCGCCCACCCGCGCCCACCCGCATCCACCCGCGCCCTCCCGCGCCCGCGGCGCCCCTGCAGCGCCTTCTGCAGCATGCGCCAGATCGCCCCCACTCCCTAAATTTTTTTCCGATTTTTCTCGAATTTTTTTTGAATTTCATTTTCTGGTGCTCTCCATTTCCCGGATCAACACCCTCCCCCACACCTCCCACCATCCACTTCTACCCTCTATGTCCAAATACTCCTGCTCTACTTCCTTGGATCAAGACCTCCCTCTCCACCCCCCCAAAAAAAATTCCATTTTCTTGTAATCTCTAACTCCTCAGATCAACACCTCTCTCTCTCACCTACACCTCCCACTTGCACCCCCATCACCACCATCACTCTCTCAATCCCAATTTCCCTGCTCCAACTCCTCAGATCAAGAACACCCTCTCCATCTCCCCCCCCAAAAAAAAAAATCCATCTCCTTGGATCAACTTTTCTCGATATAAATAATACAAAGATTTTCCCTCCACTTCCTTGGATCAAGTTTTTGGGTCCTCCCTATGCAGGTCTAAACAAGTAACTTCCTCGCATGCATGACGTCACTCTACCTGTGTGTACTCAGCGGTCAGTGACGTCACGTGATGACCTCACACACACAAGCCAACATACCATATCAGGTCTGTCACCATAACCTTTTTTTCGGCTCCCAGGTTCTACAACAACACCCACATCCCACAACCCAAAACTTATAACCTTTTTTTTCAGCATCTCTAGTTTGTGGCCCCGTGGCCTGGTGGCTAAAGCTCCCGCTTCACACACGGAGGGCCCGGGTTCGATTCCCGGCGGGTGGAAACATTCCGACACGTTTCCTTACACCTGTTGTCCTGTTCACCTAGCAGCAAATAGGTACCTGGGTGTTAGTCGACTGGTGTGGGTCGCATCCTGGGGGACAAGATTAAGGACCCCAATGGAAATAAGTTAGACAGTCCTCGATGACGCACTGACTTTCTTGGGTTATCCTGGGTGGCTAACCCTTCGGGGTTAAAAATCCGAACGAAATCTTATCTTATCTTATCATTAACAACAATACCCACAACCCGCATCGTTTTCCATTTTATTTCACAATTTTTCCCCTTTTGATACAATTTTTTTCATAAATGACACTAATACACATCTTCACTCTTAACCAGGATAACCCAAATAATTCCTCATTTTCGTTAATACCCACAATAATCCACAATTTTTTACATAATACAACAAAAGATTCACTGGTCACTCTCCTCAAGTATAGGCATCTGCCCAAATATGCCAAGCGAGAACTGCTTGGCGAGTCTTATCTGATTTATCTACAGATTAAAATCTCAGGTCAGACCCACCAAGTAACTCTTCTCTCTCTCTACCTGAACACCAACACTCATTTCTACCATAGAGAGAATTTAAGGCTAGGTATGCTTACTCAATCCATTCTTTAAAAATATATTCACACAATACCTTTAATTTCAGTAAAATTCCCAAGTTTCATTAAAATTCTAATACAATCTTCTTACCTCTTCTCCACACCACCCAAACCTTACCTCTTCACATCCACCCACCCATCTCCCAACACTTCACTCTTTTCCCAACATCTCACAACAAGACACAATTTTCACTCATAACCCACAGTTTTTCTCGTTTTAACTATTTCATCAGAAAAAGTCACCACAACACT